CTGGAAATTAACTTGGATCGTGCTTTTCCCGTTTTATTACTTATCCACACCGGGAAAGCAGGATTTAAAGACCTTCAGAAGTGCCTATTGCATGCAGCCCCATGGGGCAGTAAAATGAGTAATTAGCACGCACTATAAATAAATAGATCTGCGGTGGGTTAGGTGGGGCCAGCTAGGAGCTATATATGTGTGTTTATTAGCTATTGTCTTACAGGGCACTGGGATTACTAGAGAGGGCATGCATAGGAAGATATGGCATGGATGGGGCTCCTGCAATGGGAGGGGGCTCTAATTAACCCTTTGAGGGCCAAGCCCTCTGTGACACTAAGGGAAGTGACATTCCCAGTGGAGATGGTGTGTGGTGTGGCTGATGGTTCTCTGAGTTTGTGACAGGCGTGCAGCAAAGAGTTAATGTAGTTGAGAAGGTCTGAAGGTGCACATACATCAATGGCTGAGAGCATGTATCATTTAATAAAGATACATTAATTTAAATAATATTATTATTATTATTGATATTATTATGATTATTTTAAACAACAACAAAAAAATCACTCTGTAACAGTGAAGTTCGGATCACCGTGTAGAAGGAATCCAAGCAGGACACAAAGTTTATTCTACAACATTTTTACAAATCATTACTTGTCAAATTGTCATATAATGATGTCGTCTAGGATAATTCTGCAGTGCTATGATTTAGACAGAAAAAATTATATTCTTCTATCTATCTATCTATCTATCTATCTATATCTATCTATCTATCTATCTTTCTAATCTATCTATCTATCTGTCTATCTTTCTATCTCATCTATCAATATCACTGCATTTCACTTTTAAAGAGCTCAACAATGGTAAGATGTGATAAAAAGTTACTAATCAATATAATGAAGTCAAAGTGATAACCTGATGATCAATATTTATAATATAACTTACACCCAGGACTCATTGCTGGTCTCACATCCACCTATCCCATATTGGTTTGTAATAGCAGCCATACCCACTTTCTGGATGTTGTGTAGCAGATATGAATGGGACACTTCAGAAATATCCCTAATATCTTGTATGATTGATATCATTCCATGTTACACTGTGATATCTCTATCAGTATTCACTATATAGAACATGAATCCCTAATATCTTGTATGATTGATATCATTCCATGTTACACTGTGATATCTCTATCAGTATTCACCATATAGAACATGAATCCCTAATATCTTGTGTGATTGATATCATTCCATGTTACACTGTGATATCTCTATCAGTATTCACTATATAGAACATGAATCCCTAATATCTTGTGTGATTGATATCATTCCATGTTACACTGTGATATCTCTATCAGTATTCACTATATAGAACATGAATCCCTAATATCTTGTGTGATTGATATCATTCCATGTTACACTATGATATCTCTATCAGTATTCACTATATAGAACATGAATCCCTAATATCTTGTGTGATTGATATCATTCCATGTTACACTGTGATATCTCTATCAGTATTCACCATATAGAACATGAATCCCTAATATCTTGTATGATTGATATCATTCCATGTTACACTGTGATATCTCTATCAGTATTCACGATATAGAACATGAATCCCTAATATCTTGTGTGATTGATATCATTCCATGTTACACTATGATATCTCTATCAGTATTCACTATATAGAACATGAATCCCTAATATCTTGTATGATTGATATCATTCCATGTTACTCTGTGATATCTCTATCAGTATTCACTATATAGAACATGAATCCCTAATATCTTGTATGATTGATATCATTCCATGTTACACTGTGATATCTCTATCAGTATTCACTATATAGAACATGAATCCCTAATATCTTGTATGATTGATATCATTCCATGTTACACTGTGATATCTCTATCAGTATTCACTATATAGAACATGAATCCCTAATATCTTGTGTGATTGATATCATTCCATGTTACACTGTGATATCTCTATCAGTATTCACTATATAGAACATGAATCCCTAATATCTTGTGTGATTGATATCATTCCATGTTACACTATGATATCTCTATCAGTATTCACTATATAGAACATGAATCCCTAATATCTTGTGTGATTGATATCATTCCATGTTACACTGTGATATCTCTATCAGTATTCACTATATAGAACATGAATCCCTAATATCTTGTATGATTGATATCATTCCATGTTACACTATGATATCTCTATCAGTATTCACTATATAGAACATGAATCCCTAATATCTTGTATGATTGATATCATTCCATGTTACACAATGATATCTCTATCAGTATTCACTATATAGAACATGAATCCCTAATATCTTGTGTGATTGATATCATTCCGTGTTACACTGTGATATCTCTATCAGTATTCACTATATAGAACATGAATCCCTAATATCTTGTATGATTGATATCATTCCATGTTACACTGTGATATCTCTATCAGTATTCACTATATAGAACATGAATCCCTAATATCTTGTGTGATTGATATCATTCCATGTTACACTGTGATATCTCTATCAGTATTCACTATATAGAACATGAATCCCTAATATCTTGTGTGATTGATATCATTCCGTGTTACACTGTGATATCTCTATCAGTATTCACTATATAGAACATGAATCCCTAATATCTTGTGTGATTGATATCATTCCATGTTACACTGTGATATCTCTATCAGCATTCACTATATAGAACGTTAATCCCTAATATCTTGTATGATTGATATCATTCCATGTTACACTGTGATATCTCTATCAGTATTCACTATATAGAACATGAATCCCTAATATCTTGTATGATTGATATCATTCCATGTTACACTGTGATATCTCTATCAGTATTCACTATATAGAACATGAATCCCTAATATCTTGTGTGATTGATATCATTCCATGTTACACTATGATATCTCTATCAGTATTCACTATATAGAACATGAATCCCTAATATCTTGTGTGATTGATATCATTCCATGTTACACTATGATATCTCTATCAGTATTCACTATATAGAACATGAATCCCTAATATCTTGTATGATTGATATCATTCCATGTTACACTGTGATATCTCTATCAGTATTCACTATATAGAACATGAATCCCTAATATCTTGTATGATTGATATCATTCCATGTTACACTGTGATATCTCTATCAGTATTCACTATATAGAACATGAATCCCTAATATCTTGTATGATTGATATCATTCCATGTTACACTGTGATATCTCTATCAGTATTCACTATATAGAACATGAATCCCTAATATCTTGTGTGATTGATATCATTCCATGTTACACTATGATATCTCTATCAGTATTCACTATATAGAACATGAATCCCTAATATCTTGTATGATTGATATCATTCCATGTTACACTGTGATATCTCTATCAGTATTCACTATATAGAACATAAATCCCTAATATCTTGTGTGATTGATATCATTCCATGTTACACTATGATATCTCTATCAGTATTCACTATATAGAACATGAATCCCTAATATCTTGTATGATTGATATCATTCCATGTTACACTATGATATCTCTATCAGTATTCACTATATAGAACATGAATCCCTAATATCTTGTATGATTGACATCATTCCATGTTACACTATGATATCTCTATCAGTATTCACTATATAGAACATGAATCCCTAATATCTTGTATGATTGACATCATTCCATGTTACACTATGATATCTCTATCAGTATTCACTATATAGAACATGAATCCCTAATATCTTGTATGATTGACATCATTCCATGTTACACTGTGATATCTCTATCAGTATTCACTATATAGAACATGAATCCCTAATATCTTGTATGATTGACATCATTCCATGTTACACTGTGATATCTCTATCAGTATTCACTATATAGAACATGAATCCCTAATATCTTGTATGATTGACATCATTCCATGTTACTCTGTGATATCTCTATCAGTATTCACTATATAGAACATGAATCCCTAATATCTTGTATGATTGATATCATTCCATGTTACACTGTGATATCTCTATCAGTATTCACTATATAGAACATGAATCCCTAATATCTTGTATGATTGATATTCCATGTTACACTGTGATATCTCTATCAGTATTCACTATATAGAACATGAATCCCTAATATCTTGTATGATTGATATCATTCCATGTTACACTGTGATATCTCTATCAGTATTCACTATATAGAACGTTAATCCCTAATAATAATTTAGGACATTTAGAGATGGGTACAGTCAGTGTACTTGGCCATGGATTGACTGTATTATAGGCACGTTGAGTGCGCTATAAATAGCTTTTCTATGTAATTTGAGAGTAAAACGTACAACTTCCAGTTTTTATCTTATTTCTGTTTTTGGATGCGGTTGAAAAACTATTTGGAGTCACGTGACTAATGTTGCCCAGTGCCTGTGAGGTCCACACTCGGTCAGATGGCTGGTCACACACTGCACGTAGTGACTGCCGACTCGCCTAATGTATCCCAGACTCACTGCTACTATAGAGACACTGTATCAATTTAAACAGTATTCTCTGATCTCCACACCTGCAAGCAAACCCAAACGTTTAACCCACTGGGTGCCAGATTGAGAGACGTTAACCCTTGAAGTGTCAGAAGGGAGTTGTCCTTCAAGGGTTAATCATTGTAAAAGCTTTTTTTTTGTGTGTATTTGTCTTTGTTAACGAAACAACTCATGCATAGCTTATTAATGACTAAGAGTGTCTTAGCTCAGAGGTCTGTGTGTGGGACATGATCTAAATCCAATTGCAGCCACATATAGTGTCAGTGAGTGATAAGTGACTGTTTTATAATTGGGAAGGGGGGTGTGACCTGCCCAGGGGGGCGGACCTGGGATGCTGTTAGACTGGAGGAAGGTTATATCAGGGGTGTGAGAATTTGGCTGTGCATAATGAATGGATCTATCCCAGGGATTTGAGGATACTCCTTCTTCCCCACTGTGCTCTTCACAAGACATTGCTGTGTAGACGTCCTTCTGGTCACTGTGCTGGAGGCTGGGAAAGGGACAGGACCTACTTACTAAGACTGGCGCTGTGTGCTACAGGATAAACTTTATCATCAGTAACTGAGGCTGTGGACCAGAGCAGACAGAGCATCTCACGGCCAGCACTGAGCATTGCATTGCATTGGGAACTTTTTGGACACATTTAGGATGTTAAGCTGTGTAACTGTGGCAATGCTATTGCTGCTCTTTGGATGCTTAATTCTAACAGGTAAGGTGCTGTCAGTGTGCTTCTAACAGTGCCATGTACACCAATGGAGCTGGTTACAGGATACTGCAATTTTAAAAAGTATTAACTGTATATCCAGCACCATTTTTATAATTGTGTAGTGCCTCCTCATACTTATTTAACCTAAAAATGCAAGTTCTTTCACTCACTTGATTGTTAAATATAGATAACCTTCACTTGATTTATGTTTATTAACCTACCTATGTATGGTTATTTAGTTATTTGTAGTGTAGGTTTTAACCATTTTCTGCTGTTACATAATTAGATCTCAAAAAGAAAAGTCATCTAAAGGTCAACCATAAACAGGCAATATGTGGCAGCACATGGACTGCTACTCCCATCATGCATAAGCTTGAGCATGATGAGAATCGAAGTCTTCGTTAACTGAAGTGCATACTCATGCAATGGGACTATGCAGAATGGGCTTTAATGTATTATATCAAGAATGTATGTTGTAACAGATATGCTAAGGTTAGACAGTAGGATGCCATGGAAGGATTTCAATGGAAGCTAATATGGATGTCTAAATATTAATACATGAGATATTGTAACAATGATAGTGTTTTTCATGAATAGGCACTGAATCCAGAAACATAATTCTAACACTGGATCTGATTTTTTTTTTTAAATAAACCCAATGGAAATATGCAACAGAAGTGTATAATGCTCATGATGGAATACCAATCATTTATTATATATTATCACCTGATGACCCATCATAGGATGAGTTGTATTCAATAAAATGCTCTCTACATGTTGTCTATCGACCCAATAGGACAAGGTAAAGAAAGTATGCAAATCTCTCTATTACTCATTCTTTCTCTCTCCCACTTTCATTACTTCCATGGAATCTGTATCTGTAAACTTTTCTACTCATGTAATATATATTTAAAAAAATGAAGATTGCATAAACATTTAGAATGTTGCACAAACAGTGTATTTATTGTTTAAACCAAAACTGTTTACACATAAATTTGCTGGTGTTCCAAACAAAAAAAAACTTTTTCTGCTTTCAGTAAACAATTGTAGATTACTTTGAATCAGTCTTGCTCCTAATGCACTATGGAGTGCAATAAAGTGATTTGTGGCTGGTACTTTAGGACTGGAAGAATTTATTTGCTTATCTGTTTTCTTTGTGTTTATTTTATTTATTGACTATTTTTTCCTCTGTGGTTTTATGTGGACGAGGCTATTGGATATTGTCTAATAATATAATTAGTGATGTCCCGAACTGTTCGCTGAACGTTTCACCACGGCTCGCCACGAACGGTTCGCCGCGGACTCATCATTGAATAAACTTTGACCCTGTACCTCACAGTCAGCAGACACATTCCAGCCAATCAGCAGCAGACCCTCCCTCCCAGACCCTCCCACCTCCTGGACAGCTCACTAAGAATGCAGCTTCACAATGAATGTAAAAGTGATGCTGTCCAGGAGGTGGGAGGGTCTGGGAGGGAGGGTCTGCTGCTGATTGGCTGGAATGTGTCCGCTGACTGTGAGGTACAGGGTCAAAGTTTACTCAATGATGAGTTCGTGGCGAACCGTTCGCCAAACCGTTCGGCAAACCGTTCGGCGAACAGTTCGGGACATCACTAAATATAATGCATTTGATTCCCTTGAACTTGGCTGTGTGGGAGATATTACCAGAATACTTGTCCCTTCTCGTAAATCTTGTGATCAACATAGTTTGATTAAGTGTTATATGTATCTTTACCTTTAATATGCTGGTTGGTGATCTTACTCTCAGACAGTGGTAGCTAGCAGGTGGGGCAATGCATGCTGTTGAATCACAATTGCTGGCTAACTTGTATCCAAAATTCTGTCTTAATTTGTGGTGTGTACTTTAAAATCCTAATGTAGTAAATTCAAATCCAAATGGCGAAATGTAATAAAAAACAGGTGATCTGGGACAAACTCTCCAATTCAGCCAGGTCACAGGTTGTATATTTTACTCTCCGTTTTGTAATTCAGATTTCGATTGGCTACTCTGTGTGGGAGATCCAGACCCTGTTACAATCCACAAAAAACAGATGGCATACACTGGGAATTTAATTAGGCATATTAAAAAATAAGTCAGCATTAAACTCCCATAGCAATAGGGAAAAAGTGTCAGGTCACGGAGCACAAGCAACCCTAAGCCCTTTATGATATAATGTAGTTTGTAGCCTCCTGTGTACTTAATAATCACCAATCTTAGAGTGGACATAGATACCTGAACACCTATCCCTGTGGCATAACTCTACAATTGTGATTATTTATATAGCACCAACATATTCCGCAGTGCTGCACAATAGGTAAACAAAACAGACGACACTAACTTCTAACAAAACACGATTGACATACTGGATGAGTATATGAAGAGGGCCTTGCTTACAGTCTAGAAACTCTGCAAAGTACTATGTCAGATAAAAAAACCACATTTGGATATATAGTTATCAGGGGTAAATGAGGCCAATATTGACCTTATGATCATGTGTACAGCGCTACGGAATCTGATGGCGCTATATAAATAATAAAATAATAATAATAATAATGTGTGGTGCAATTAGCCAAAACGTTCCACTGTCTTCAATGGGATCGCTCCTTGTTTGATAGTTTGCTATACAATTGATCCAGTTCTCCTAGCTAAATATAGCCTATGAAGCTGTTTGGGGCTGTCAGGAAGGAGGAGCGAGCCAAAGAAAATCAGTGGTGGGCCACGTCCGGCCAGCAGGCCTTCAGATGGAAAGACATGTGTCAGGTCATAGGGGTTGCAGATTATTCTGCACATTGGAATGCAATAAATTCTTTGTACCGAACCCATGCATTGCACGTAGGCGAGAAATGCAGCCTGTATTCGATGTGTCTTGAACATAACTATTGCATTTAGGAACAGAATATGTCCCCATTTTAAAGGGACTAGACAGTTTTATTGTGCAAAGGAATACAATATTTTATGTTTTCAATTTCTGTATTTAAAGCCCAGTATATTGCATGTAGTAATGCAATATATTCTGCATTCATTATGCATTTACAAAAGTCTTGTATCGCATGTAAGAATGCAATCCATTCTGCATTTCCCGTCTGTATCCCAAACTAATATATTCCCCATCCAATGTATTGCATCTCAAGAGCACATGGGTTTATCGCACAGAAATGTCTGTTAGTTCAATTACTTGTGTTCACCACTGCAGCATCGTTCCATCTGCTATAAATTTGAATGAAGCTATAATTAAATGTGCTATTAATAAGCTACTTCTAGATATTATTTAATGATGTAATAATTAGGAGTTTGAAGATGCATAAGACCAATAATTTTCTTTGCTACTGATGGTTTGTTACTGACCCCATTATATAGATTGTTCAAAGGTATGACAATATTAGATATAGCTAATGGGAATATCTAACCAGTTTGTTGCAGTAAATTATGTAGTAAAAACTATATAAATGGTGATGATAATAATAATACTATTAAATTAGAAACAGTGGACAGAATTTCAGAATTGTGATCTGTGTATTGTTGCAAAGTTCTAAAATCAGGTAAATCCCCATGGCAACCGTTGTAATTAGTAGGCACAAGTATGCCAGTTTTCTAAATTTGCACCAAATTTCAGGTCATAGCATTATCATAAATCTACCGCAAACTTTACTTCTTCTTTCATATTTGACACATTAAGTTTATACACTGGGTTAATAAACCTTTCATGCATGAGTGAAGTATGTAAGACAATAAAACCATTTAACTGCTTCGATTTCTGTAAGACAGCTATGTCTTACGATTGTCTTTGAACATTATTTATATTTTATGACATTTTTTATTACGCATCTTGTGAATATTATTACTTATAATTTATCTTAGCGTATATATTTTACATGTATTGCAGTTGATATAACACATTACTCAGCTCAAGCATTCCATACTGTTTAATACAGGGTATACCTATAGGTTTATTCTCAAAGACTTTTGAATACATTGTTTTTTTGTTTGTTTTTTTAAGAATCATGACTGTGTTGTTTAAATATTCAGTAAACCTTGCTTGTTAGTCTTATTTCTGTCCACTCATCAAGTTGGTGTCTTTTTTAATGTTCATTTGAAAAAAAAGAATAATGCAGGTAAGTATCCCAAATTAGAATGGGTATCTATAAGGGTATGTCCTAAAGCTTCAAACCTAAAATACATTTTGTGCTTGGGAAATAAGATGAGTAAAACATGAGCTTTTTATGATGTAAAATTAACTTTTATAAATGTGTGTTTCCCGTACATAGTGAAGAAATGACGAAAGCTCAGTTTTCTTTTTATAGAATTTGCTAAACTTAAACTGTATCAATTCCTCTATTCCACTTTGTACTGCTGTTGTCATAGATGCATTTATATATTAACTCTTGCGATTAATAAGCCATTTTGCAGCTACCTCACTAAACAGTGAGATGTAGCCTAAGACATGCCAGTTTCATGGTCATGCCCACTTACCTTAACAACATATGGCATATCCTATAAAACAGGTTTTCTTTTTATAGATCATTTTAGAAATGATAAGATGAATGTGAACTTTGTTCCTGAAGCGAAACAAATTTTCCAGTTTAAATAATGTGAAATTTGCTTTGAATTTACTTTGAATTCCTTAAGGCTTCACTTTTTAGAGACTAACTCTGCAAGATATAGCACAGATTAGTTATATGCCTATACAGTCAGTGCCAATATTTAGTTGTTTTTTTTCCCATTTGATAAATAAGCATCTTGATTGAGTTTGCAAAAGGCCTACGTCTGGAAATACTTATTCAGAAGCCTCTTGTAAAATTATCATTACAATGCCAAAATGATGTTAAACACAGTGGTATTTCAATGGTTTAACTTAACAATCAATCAGTAAGAAATCTTCCCAAATTATAAACCTTATTTTACGTTCTGTCTCATTACATTCCTGGCAAAAAGACTTATGTGTCTAGATTG